TTGCAAGCAGCTTTAAAAAATTCACCAGGTATAAGACAATGCAACTGCTCTGGACCTCAGAGAGTAGGGAGTGAAGAAGGGGCTACAAATAGAGTGGATGCATTATTAATGAATCACCCTGCAGCTGTCCTTAAAAACTGCCTGCAAATGCCTATACATTTAGAAGACCTTACTCACCTGGAAGAAAAAAAAAAAGCATGGAAGGTAATATCCATTCTTTCTGTTGTATTCAGAGAAATGATCTTATGGCTTGACCTTTTCTTATCCCCTGCCACTCCTCCCTAGGCAAGCAGTGCTCTTGGTGAACAAATGGAATTCTCTTCCCCAGTGTTTATAAGCAGAATAGACAAGTGAGGAATAGAGAGCTCTACAGTATAGGGAGAAATAGTTTCCTATGTCATGAATGACTGCAGTTAAAAATAGAGCTAAATTAGATGTTACTAGGCTATGCTAAGCATCTTAAAACCTTTCATTAAATGTTACAAAATAAAATATTTCTGAATATTTAAAATTATTTTGATACCCTTTAGGAGTAGGTAAATTTATCCATAATTTTTCAATGCTTCATTTGATAGAATTTTATTATTATTGAAATAGTCAACCCAGAATTCATACTTATATCTCTAAAACACTGACTTCCAAACTCTGTTAGTGTTTACAAAATCTGTGAACTCCCATGAAAGATTGTAAAACAACAGCAAATATTGTCTTTTCTTATTTTTATAGATAGATATTCAAAGTTCCCACCCTCTTGTACAATCCCATTCTATTCTATACTTATTTACTGTTTGCTTGCTTATAAGATAATTTCTCAATCCCTAGTTAATAATAACAATGTCTTCTGCGATGAATCATTGAAGTGATAATAGGAATGAAAAGAAAAATAACTGATGAGAATATCTTTATTTTTCTATAATTAAAATACTCTAAGAAATAAGAGGCATGCAATGAAATATGAAACTTTTAATTATCTAGCTTTCTAGCTTTACAATAATGTAAAATTATAAGAGCACCTTTTTCCCCAGTGCCTCTGTAGTAATCAATAGTGGTGTAAGATTCCCATCAGATGTTACAGATATGAATGTTAGACACTGTTACCTAGTATTATAATATAGAACATAAGTCAGGAGTGGCTACATTGATGTTATGTAGAACAGTAATACAGACAAAGAGAGGAACACTGTGGGGATAAATGATAAAGAGACATTTTGGATACAAAGGTTTTTTGTTATGAAGTCATTACTGTTATAACTTTAGTAATGTAAGAACACTTTCCAAGATGTCTTTGGTAACTAATCAAATTTAGTTTCCTTTAAAAATTTCATACCCAAAATTTAAAAAAAATAACATTTTAAGAAAGGGGAAAATCACCCTAGAATCATTTTAAGAAGTTGTTACTGAAATTGCCTAAAAGCTAGGAAAAGTGTAGCTTTTCCTAAATCTTGGATACATGACATATTTAAGAACCCACCAACTATTTCATGGCAAATACTCAAAATTTCCCCAAGATCAGAAATCAGCCAAAGATGCTTGCACCTAACACTTCTATGCACAGTTTGCTCATCTTACCGACCAGTGCAATAAAGCAGGAGAAAGACGTGAGAGGCAGACGCCCAAGACATGACGAGTCCAAGTGTTTTCCCTTTATACTGCTTAAGTAGAAATTCTATGGCATCTACAGAGTTGATGAAATAGTGAATTGAACAGGTAATGAAATATATGGTCAAAGTTAAGAAATCTGTTATATTTTAAATTAAATACCCAGATAAAAAATTTAAAACATAATTCTCCTTAAAATTTTTCCAAACGTGTTAGAAAGGAATAAGTCTAAAAAAATCATTTACCATCTTTACACTATAACTGAGAATATTTTTCAATAAAGGAAGAAACAATTTAAAAGCAGGTTTATATTATATTATGTATCAGATTTTTTAAAAAATTAAAAAATATATACCTTAAATATATGGTTGATTATAAACCAATAACTACATTTATTAAAGGAATGATAAATAAAAGAAAATATGTATATAACTCTTTACAAAATAATATAGTTCTTAATATGATTAAATTAAATTCACAGGGACCTCCATTATGAATGTATATTTAACCTGGTACTACAGCTTGTTATTCAAACAAGGAAACTGTCAGCAGATTAATTATAAATGTCTGATGGTGAATATAGCTAATGAGACCGTATGCTTATACTAGACAAGTTACTCATTTTGATCAGGTAATAGTAAATAATTTTTAAGCGATCTTATATTTCCACCCTCATGGCAGGTTACACGAATCAATATCTAAGTAGTAAGTCATTATTACCCAGAAGAAAATGTAGTTTATAATTTCTGGTTGTCCTCTAAGAGAGTAGGAGGTTTATCTGCCAATCACAAAGCAAGCAGCTGTCATATAGGCTAAAGAACAAATTGACTACTTGAAGTTATGAGTGACATTGTGCATAATTGTTTAATAACTTTCTTGATATTTATTTGTAAAACTATTAAACAGCTCTTAAAATTTTTCTTTTCTTAAAAATAGGATATGGGATGAATTGGGGGAAAGGAACCATAAAAATATATTGTATGAAAAAAATCTATTTTTAATAAGCAACAACCTAAAATTTTAGCTTATCACAAGGAAAACATACTAGACAATTTTGTGGTTTGAGTATTAATCTTTCCTAAATTATGATATGAAAACTAATATGTCTACTATGTTGGTCCACTTGGTTGTCTATGATTGAATTATAGGTACCTAGGAAATGGCTAAACCCTACCCCTGTTCTGTTGATGAGGGCCCCTACATAAGATAGTGTGTGTGTGTGGGGGGGAGACAGGGCCTCACTGTGGACAGAAACATCCCATCATCTAGTTGGCCATATAGAATGAGAGAGACCGGGAGAGAAAACAGGTACAACTGCACCCTGCTTCCACCCTCCAGCTGCAATGAGAACGCTTCCATGCTTTCCACGCAATCGTACTCAACGCATTGAAACTGTGATCAATATCATTTTCCTTACATGGTTTGTTCAAGTATTTTGTCACAGTTGTGTCAAAAAAATGGACAGAAACACTTATTTTAGTGTTTATATCATAAACGGAGCAATTGGTGATTTCAATGCTTAGTCTGTGGACACGTAAAAGTCTTTTATCTTTATGAAGCTTATAACAAGTTAATCCTCACACCACCATTTAATAAAAAATCATAAGCTCAAGCATTTTAATGAACAAAAACAACTTCGGCTTTAATTTCATATTTGTGTCAACATCTATATTTTAAGATATTATCCTTAAAGTATTCCATGTGATAACATTCGTGTGTGTGCACATGTGTACATGTATATGTGTGTATGTGAGAGCCTGTGAATGTATATGTGTGCGCATGTGTCTCTATGTGTATACAGATGAATTTTCTATCCAAATAAGCTGAAAAGTACAAATTTACTAATGAAGTTGCACCTTCTCTTGCTCTTTTCTTCTAGACAAGGGTTCTGCTGCTGAGGTACACACCTCAGCCTAACTCCTTAATCTTGAGAACACATCTTAAGAAAATGTTTTTCTTCTTGGTTAACATTTAGGAAATCTGCCAATGTTAACTTCACAAAATGGTAACCTTCCGCTAGATTTCTAAGTTCTTTGTAGTGGAAAGAATCACAGTTAAAGGGCATAGTACAACCATGCAGTTTTCTTTCCAGCTTTGCTGACTTCGTACTGCATTCATTCATACAGCCAGTAGCTTGCACACTGCCATGCTAGCCTTGCCTTGTCTGGTTAGTGGCATAAAGACGCGCTGCCAGAGATGGTGTATCCTGAATAATGGATAGTTGAGAGTCCCCTGACACAGGTTTGACGGCCATAAAATATGAGCTTTGTGATTGCCCTCATATGAACACTCTGGAACTGACTGGGGGGAGATTATTTCTAAATGCCAAGCTAACTCTAATTGTGGCCAGTTTCAGTAGGTGATTCTCTCATTAGTGTTTGGAACAATTACAGAGAAAATGGATTGGCGCAATTTTATTTCTGCATTGATAGAATCTATTCTTACTATTGCATTTTAGCTATTCAGATTCAAATCAGGCTTCTCATCACGAATGTTCTGTTTGTGAGGGACACCACAAATTACTGGAGCTTCCCACCCCTAATCAAGTTTGATTTCCAATGAGGTCAATGCATTTTATTGCCAGTAACGTAGTATTAAATCAACAGGTAGCACAAACTTCCCTTTTACTTTGTGACAATTCCTGAACTTATTGGCATCCTGATACATTATTTACCACTTTCCTCTCTTAATGATACAATCCCTTTCAACCCTGTAGAAAATCAGAATAAAATTAACTGAAAGTTTATACATACAACTGCCCTCACATAAGACCACAATTGAAGCATCTGCATTCATACAGAAATGAAGCCAACCGTAGTAAGAGATTCAGATTGGGAAGAACAAACAAACGCCTAGAGAAGAGATTTATGGCCCTGAATGAAAACTCTCCTCTCCCTCAGTTTCACAGAGTGACACAGCCTTGTTTTAATGACAGATACTGAAGACAAGCAAGTTACTGTAATTAGACAACTAAAATTAAAGAAAAATGATCAGAAATCTTCCTTGTAGGTACCAGGAAGTTTAAAATGTATTATTTTATTTATACAAGAACGAATAAGAACAGACACTTCCTTGAGTATCAGAGAGAAAAAAAAACCTGTCCAATGCACTTTGTATGCCCTATGCATATAGTGAAAGGCATATAGTATGGTATCTCTAAGAGAAAGGTAGAGATTTCATTATAGAGTTCTCTAGATAAGAATCACCAAATGGAAGAGAGAGAAGAGAGACAAAATGTGAGCATGTGTATGAGCTTGTGTGTTTATGCGTGTGTGTGAAGAATGACTTTTTATACATGGTTCATGTTGAAACCAACATCTCCAAGACCAAGTTTCCAAGAAATCAAAGAATCAGAAATAAACCACCTTCTCTCAGGAAAAGACGCATCAATTGCTACTCACCTAATCTCTCGATGGAATAGTACCGCTGCTTACTGTCCACACGCACTGTCTCAGCATAAGGACTGCCAACGCCATATCCAATAATATAACCTCGCACCACAATGTTTGGGTTGAGAGGAGGAGTCCAACTCATGATGATGCAATTTGTCTGGGGTCGTACATGAAGGGAGCTTGGCTGGTCGGGAACTTGAGACTCTAGGATTCAAAGATAGATATCATCAGCAAGTCTCATTATAGCGTTAAAAGAATGGCTAAGATCACATTTAAATAAGACAGTATTTTATTCCAAAAAGACTCAAAATACTTATTAATCAGCCCTTTTCCTAGCACCCTCTACATTTTTTTGGTTAAAATTGAAACAAGATTTTGTATGTGGCATGTGCGTGTGTGCATGCTTGAGTGCATGTATGTGTGTGTGTGTGTGTGTGTGTGTGTGTGTGTGCACGCACGCATGCGTGTGTGTCTCTCTCTGCACATCTGGATCCTAAGGAGAAATAACTGGCATCTCCCTCTAGATGGTAGATTTCCACCACCATTTTAAAGCTAGTTTGTCTCACTGATTCTGCTACTCACTAGGTTGACTGGCTAGTGAGCTCCAGCATCTGCTTTCCTCACCTGTCTCAGCATGGGACTTACAAATGTGTACTCTAGGGCCTGGTTATTACACTGATGCTAAGAATCTGAACTGAAGTCTTCATGCTTGCCTGGCAACATTCTACTGAGAGGATCATTTCTCCTTTGTATCAAAGAACTGCTTGAATTTCATTCAACATATTTTAATTATATTCTTCCCCTTTCCCAGTACCCCCACCCAGATTTTCTTAAACATTATTTCTCTAGGCATGTCTGGTGCCATGCATCTTTATTTTAAGTCATTTTTCCTTTTTCATGTATTTCTTAAGTATCATTAATAAATTGAAAAATTAAAGCAAAGAAAATAATTTTAAAATACATAAATGACAAAACTGTCTTGTCCAAGAATTATTTACTCAATTTAAACAAAAATAAAAATATATGTACCAATCCTATTTTCAGAAATTGTTAGAGGAAGCTAGATAGATTGTCTAGCACTGCCTCTGAAAAGGAGTATACTTATGTTTTCAGCATTCATGGTGGGTGACCTATAACTCTGGCTTCCATGAAAACCCACACAAATGACTGTATATCCTGTCTTCTGCGCAAATAAATACATATAATTTAAAAACATGGTAAAACATTTAGCAAAACAGATTGTCAATGTGAGCAATATGGAGTTGGCTCGCTACTTGTTAACTCTGTTAAAATATGATATTTGAGAAAAGAAGACAGCACTCTGGATTAAAGACACGTAGTTCCAGAAGTTGGAAGATTTAGGTTTCACATCATGTTCTATCATTCACTAAATTCACTTTCCTAATTAAATTAACTTGCCAGATAGTGCTTTACTCAAGTTAAGAAAGAGGTAAGTTAAATTCTGCACGAGATTTTAACTTTGAGGCTGTAAGACCTTGCTTGTAAGCCCCAGCTCCCTCAGCTGTATAATGAAGATAAAGTTGAGAACAATTTCATAGGGTATTGAAAAGAATAAATGAGAGATAATGCCTAAAAATTCTTACTATGAGTAGTACCAAGGTTGTCAATAAGTATTGGATATTTGAGCTGGCATTTTCTTTTGAGGAGACAGTACAGAATAAATAATGACTTTGACTACTAAATTGACAAGATTGCTGTATCATCATTCCAAAACATGACTGTATTCCTAAAATACACTGATACCTGTTAAATTAATACACATACTGATACAGCATCCCACATGATGGAATATAGGTTATTATCTGTTATCTATCTGTCTGTCTATTTATCATCTATCTATCTATCTATCTATCTATCTATCTATCTATCTATCTATCATCTATCTATCTATCATCTATCATCTATCTATATCTATTTATGATATCTATTGTACAAGAGGAGAATCTATTTTCAAAAAAATTACATGTATGTATGTAGGAAATATTGGGAAATGTTCTTGAGTTTCTTTGTCAGATAAGAAAAAATAAATAAAAATAAAAATAGGATTTGTAGATGTATAAAAACAGATGTTTCTCAATCTAGATGTTTGGAGGATTTTTGTCAATAAGCTAAGATCTATCAAAGGGATAGAAGAAAAGAGTATCTCAAGGGAATGTTAGAACAGAGATATCTGATTCATAATATATGACCATCTAATTATAACAACTAGAACAGGTAATTGTCCATAATTCACAAGAGCCAATTCATACCCACCTACTTACTTCTTAATATGAAACAGGAATGACAATTTGCCTATTACTCTTCAGAATGAACTTTCTCTCATACATTTGACCCTATAGGTTATCAAAACAGTTATTACTAAAATGAACTATAAAATATCAATGTCATGATTTCTACATAGAAAGTATGTGACATGAGCACCACTTCCTAGGAATCCAGTTTTGAAATTTGCTGCTCAGAAGTACTAGAAAGATTTTACAATTATCATTTAGGAGAGTGGCTACATATATAAAACACAAGGAATTATTATTTTAATAATTTATTTTTAAAAGTATTTATACATTTATTAAAATGTTTATTAATTTTAAATATTTGTTATGATCAGAATAATTTGTTGAGATAACCTGCAAGTAAAGACAGGTCACAATACCTGAAATACCCAAATTATGATTCCTCCTTTTTTCCAACACATGAATGATCATGATATGGAAATCTGGTGCCATTCTTGATGATGATACAGGATTTGTTTCTATAATGCATATTTTATCTTTAAGTAATGATTATAGGCTTACACTAATGAATAGTGTTTATGGAATTCAAAATGTGACATTTCAGTCATTACACAATGTCTCTAACAATAGGCCAATTATAGTGTAGATATTGTGCCAATGGAAGAAATACAAGAATAAACAAACAGAATTTACAAAGAAGTCAGGAGAACTTGCTGAACGTGTTTCTAACAGTTCAGTAAGTGATACACAAAGGACTTTTCCTCATACAGTCTAAAGTGAGTGTGAATGAAGTCTTGCAAATTTGTGAAACTTGAAGCAATAAAAACAACAGCTACAAAGACCTGCTAAGGAATGTGTTTGGCATTTGAAGAAACCCGAAGCATGGAGGGGGAAATAGAAAATTCAAATGAGTTAGCTAGGGAGAATGTTAGTATTGTTTCAGTGGAAATTTCCCCAGAAAATGAATAGAATTAGACCTGATTACACAATTCCTTTTCTAAATATTACTATACACATGTATATTCATATATCCATAGGAAAGGCAATTTGGAAATAAAATATCCACATACCCTTGTTTATAGCAGCATTTGTTACTTTGGTTACATTTGACCAAAAGTAGGAATAACCCATGTGTCAGCCAATGGGTGGATATGTAAAGCTGTGACAAATCAATAGACTATCCTTCAATGTCTAGAGGAAGAAGAGTTTGAAACAGGCAAATATGAGCTTAGTGACTAATAAGTTAAATTATATAGCCGCCAAGAAACAGAATGCATTCCATTTATATGAATTGGAATACTCAAATTCTAAGAGCCACAAAGTAGAATAATTGCTAGGGGGAGAAGAAAGGAATGCGAGCCCTTCTTTAATTGCTTTGGCATTCAGCTTGACAAAAAGGCAATGTGGAGATGGACAATAGTGATGGTTGTAGAAGTAAGTCACCATACCGAACACAGTCAAACTTCATACTGAAGACTGGTTTAAAAAAGCGAGTTTTATGTTATGTCTGTGTTTGCACAATTGAGGCTGGTGAGGAAGATGATTCAGCTAAGGTAACTACATCTGTTGCCAAGGCTGATGACATGAGCTTGATCCCCAGAAGCAATGTAGTGGAAGGAAAATAACAACTCTCACAAGTTATCCTCTGACCAGGACATATATGTCATGGCATGCACATGGGAGCACACACACACACACACACACACACACACACACACACACGGTTTGTGTAACCAAAAATAGGAATGGAGGGAGGTGAAGGATATTGAAAGTGATGGAGAGACACAGAAACACTCTACATTAAGCAAGACAAGAAGATGTAGCAAGGTGTTTCCCAAAAAAGATGAGTCATGTAAAACTGTAATCTATTTTCAATTGGATTGCTGTTTTCAATGGATTGCTTTATTAAATTTGAGGTAACATGGGGAAAGGAACACACAGACAAACAAAAGGATTTAACACTCGTCTGGGCAGCTGTGCTGAAAGATTTTAGATTAAGCATTGCAGGCAAGACCTGTTGAGATTAAGAGAAACAAACAGTTTTGAGTTGTGTTAAATTTGATTGTCTTTAAGTCAAGTGTACAAAGGGAACACAGAAGCAATTGGACATATAAGACTGGTTTGGGGTGAAATATCATACTTAGAAAGACATTTATACATATGCAAGTATAAACACATACAAACACACACACACAGAAGGAAACCACTAGGAAATAGATGATATTTAAAACAAATGTATAAATATATACATATAGCATATGTGAGTAATTAATAAAAATGCAACCAGGATCATGTTACTACTGTGCTCAAAACCTGACCCTGAAACGTTCCATCCCACAGCTTAAGATCAGAAACTTTTAGGCCATCAGTGATCTTAGCCTCTGAATCCTCATTTTTCTGACCTTTCTTCCCTCTCAGCTCATCCATGTCTCTGCTTCACACTAATAACTTGGCTGTGCCCAAATACACCAGACACACATTAATATTCCTTCAAGTCATCTGTATGGGAGAAGTCTCATTCAAAAGAATAAAAGAGAACTTTCCATTTCTATTTTATATTAAGAAGTAAATAGGTAGCCGGGCGGTGGTGGCGCATGCCTTTAATCCCAGCACTTGGGAGGCAGAGGCAGGCGGATCTCTGTGAGTTCGAGACTAGCCTGGTCTACAAGAGCTAGTTCCAGGACAGGCTCCAAAACCACAGAGAAACCCTGTCTCGAAAAACAAAACAAAACAAACAAACAAACAAAAACACACACACACATACACACACAAAAGAAGTAAATAGGTGAGTCTGAATTTGTTGTTCTGGATTATGGACAATTTCCTGGTCTAGTAATTATTACAAGGAGGTTATATATTATGGGTCAGAATGTCTGGTTCTAACATTGCCACGAAAGATGTCTTCCTCTTGGCCGTATGATTTTGACTGGTTTAAACGTCCTGTAAATATCT